CGCTCCGGAATGAAACCCTCGGAGCGTCTGGTCCGAACGGCCTGGAGAACCAATATGCGCGGGAGAGTGAGAGAGAGAGAGAGTAAGAGAGAGAGAGAGAGAGAGAGAGAGAGAGAGAGAGAGAGAGAGAGAGAGTGAGTGAGTGAGTGAGTGAGAGAGTGAGAAAAAGATAGAGTTGGTCAGTGGCTAAGATATGCAATGCGGTCAATATTTGCGGAATCTGCGCCCCTTCGCAGCCTCCATGCGATATTTCGATTACATTATTCCTGTCCACGTTGTGCACATTCTGACTGTAATTTCCTCGGATGGGCGGGGCGTCTCGCACCCAAGTCCAGCTGAGGCCCGGCTGCGGCGACTCATCCACTCCTCAGGGAGAGAGCTCTGCTGCTGCCTCACCACCAGGGGAGCTCTCACCAAATTCCAGGATTTCATAAAGGAGTGCTGCTGGCTCCAGCGGGGCCCCGCAGCTTTCCAGCAGCCCGGCCGACCACTCCACGCCTCTCGCCCTCCTCGCTCCGCTACTGGTCCTTCGCCTCCTCCCCTCCCGTCCCCCCTCCCTCTTCTGTGTTGACTCGGCGTCGGGCCAATCCTTTGATTAAAATTCCGTCGAATTGTTGTGCGCGCGGAGATTGGTCTGCCCGGCCGGGGCGGCGCGGAATCAGTGGGAACACCTTCTAAGGGCTTGCTCGCTCGCTTTGCCGGTTTTTGGCAACTCGCTGCGCCGTGTCCTCGACAAGGGGTGCGGGCCAGCCCCTTTTTCAGCTTCACCCCTGCGAGCTTCCGAGAAGTGGGTGGGTGAGCGTGCCAAGAGGCCTCGCACTCCTGCTACTCCGCAAGTGCATCATATTTTTGTTTTCGAAGGTTTATTTGGTCTGAAAACTCGAAGGCTGCTTGTTAACTATAAAAGGTAAAAAAAGCAATACAGAGGCTGACTCGAAAAAAAGAAAATAGTTAGGTGCCCTTCTAAAAATCTTTGCCAATATGCCGCGCAGAGTACCACTTTTTTATTATTTTGAAGCACCACCTAGTTCATTTTTTAAAAAGGACTTTTGACTCTTATTAAATAAAGTAGATAGATGTACGCTCGCTATACCTACCTTGACTCCTTCTGCATCTTTTCCATATATCTTTTCTGTTTGCCATCCCTGCTGGATGTTTCATTTGCTGGATTGACCAACGGACACGTTTTTCTCATGACAATGCTCTCAAAAGAAGGGAAATCGAATACTTGTTTTTCTGGGTGTACATGTCCATGTGTCCTCCGCCCCGCTCCCTGGTCTCATAATTAGAATAAGAGCATCCGCTCGGAGGGGGTAAAAGAAAAGCAGCTCGAAAATCCCCGCAAACTTAATTCCTCTTTTTTCCTCCCTCCCCCCCCCCTCCTTCTCCAAAAGAGAAGCTTCGTTTTTAACGAGCGGCGCGCTATCTGGCCGTTTCATCATTACGACGGGCTGGGCCGAGGGTGGCCGAGGGTGGCCGGGGAGCGCGGCGGCCGATGCCCGGCCGTACCAGCTGGGTTGGGCCGGGGCCCTGGCCTCTCGTCTGGCGGGGGCGGGGAGTGGCGGGTACTAGAGGGCAGAAGGCGAGTACAGCAAGCAAGGGCGTCGCCGCCGAGCTTGTGAGGCATCCCCGGGCATCCCGGAGGAGTGAGTAGTGGTTACAGTGCAAATGGCATGAAGACTCTCAACTGGTGCAGGCCTGGGCCGATGTGCGCGAGGCCCGTCGCAATCGTTTTGTTGCGGTGTGGTTATGCGAAGCCTGTTACGCGAGACGAGGTTTGGCCTACCGGGGTGTTTCAGAACGGTCACAACAGTGCCGCAGGGTCTTTGGTGCCTTACGGACGAAGACAGGTCACACAAAACCCACGACACCGCGATGTCAGCTGTCGCCAATGCTGCACTGACAAGGGAATCCCGCCAAGTGTATATAAATTCCCGATTTTCATTCTATTTTGGGAAATTGTTGGTCTAAATGTGTCATCGGAGGACACATCAAAATTTGTTGCTCAAATTCATATGTTATGTTATGAAACAAAAGTTAAAGAGCTAACATTTTTCTACAACTTTTGTGTCATAACATTTTTTGTGGGACTGCTTTATACAGCCACTGCTCATAAGCCCTAGTGATTCCCGTACATTTCCCCTCCTCAACGTCGTGGTAATTTTCGCCCAGAGATCCGCAATTTGACGAGTTGCCCCTTGGAGTATTATTGCAATATATTAAAAATAATTGAAATAGCAGCTTTTGGAACGAATGCCCAAAATAAACCCTAAATATGAATTTGAGCAACAAATTTTAATGTGTCCTCCGATGACTCATTTAGACCAACAATTTCCCAAAGTAGAATGAAAATCGGGAATTTACACTGAGCGTTGTTCCCTTGTGAGAAAAATGTTTAGATGCCAGCACTGAAGTTCATTTGATCGATGCGACCCGTTAACAGTCTACGAAAGGTTCCAAGCAACAAACAGTATCATGTAAATGTCCAAACGGTTTCTTCCTCGATACGAAACGTGTTTGAGTGGTGCATCCAAAAAATTTCAATGAGGCAACCGAACTCCTTTCAATCGTCACAACAGAGAGTCCGCAAAGCGACACTCAATTGAAGGAATGAGCAGACTCGTGTTGCGCAGATCGGACGCCAGATGCCGTGATGGCTCAGTGGTCTCCGTTCCTGGCGGCTGGGTAGTAAGTCGGGTCTGGCAGGGGTTCGAATCCCGGCCGGATCGTAACCAGTTTCTCCCAGCACTTGGGCACTGATTTGTTCTTCTTGAAATTTGAATGATGCCCGGGAGATGGACTGATGTTTGTTACACCAATATCGGAAAAGGGAGGAGCCTTGCGACATGTTTAGAGCTCCAAAGTACTTCATTGCTGGTTATTTAAGTAATTTAGTTCTGGTGATCAAACAACTCGATGTCACTGATCAAACCTACATTGTACCGACGACCAATTAGTTTTATTCCTATTATAAAGGTATTCATTACTGGTGATAAAACAGTGGTAATGAAAAGACTTTCGATGTCCCAACTAAACATTCGGTCGTCGATATATCATGAAACAAAGTTTAGATGCCACAATCAAAATTTTAGTTGCTGCATCAAAACATTTTTCTCAGTGTGAAATATTCTAGTTTCTAATAATATGTGCGTATCGCGTCTTATCCTCGTATCGCCTTTACCACATCCTACATACTGCAGCAGCGAGCAGTGGTTGCTAAAAGCCTTATTTCACCTGACCGTAGGTGGAAAATCTTGAACCCTAAAGCAGAGCGCGCGTGGAGGCGGTGGCGGTGGTGGTCGGGGTATGCGCTGCCGAGTGGTTAACATTCCTGGATGTACCTACCTGAATGAGCGCGGGGCTTCTGCCGCAGGTAGGTGGGGG